CTGCACCTACAAAAACAAAGCCTGTGAGACTCACTCAGGTTACTTTAAGTCAATCCTAAATATCTGCCAAGAATCCCTTATCCACCTCCACCTTCCTTTGCCAGACAAAACCTGCTGGAACACGCTCTTCAACCACGAGGACATGTCCGAGATCATGCAGCATTTTGCCGTGTGTCACGTTGATGCTCCCGGGCAGCATGAGGGAGCCAACACCTTTTCCACTGGGTGAGCCAGACATGCACAAACACCCACACACACAAACACACTTAAATGTATGTCAGGCTGTCTGTGACCATTGACTGGACAGGTAGATCAGTGCGGATGTTCTTAAGGTGACCTAATTGGACAAGTGTGCTGTCTTTATCTCCTTCAGCCTAATCTCTGTGCTTTGATGGCTGAACTCTTTAACTGATCATGATATGGAAACAGATAGTGAATAAGGAGCAATAAATCCAGCTAATAAATATTGCACTTTGTTATTAAATTGTAAAATCAAAGTTTGAACAACGTGTGCTTTGTTTCCTAGATATGAGTACCCGTCCATGGACCAGGTTTCAGAGACCCTCCCATCTGTGTTGAAGCACTTTGGGTAATTGAGCTGCAGTTTTTACTCTGACTTTTACACACTTAAATCAAAGATATTTTCTAACCTGTTGTTCTAACAGTCGTTATTTATTTCCGACCACAGGCTGAAGAGTGTTATTGGAATGGGCATTGGAGCCGGGGCCTACATTCTGACCAGATTTGCCGTGAGTCTCCCCTCCTTTCCCCTCACTCAGGATTAATAATTATGAGAGTTTTAATCATTTAAGGATTACCAGAAGTGTTTCTTCTTATTGCTGATTTTGGCAATGAAACGCAGCTTATTGCTCGAGCCTGCTGAGCCACAAAAAGTCTCAGGAATGTTCCAGATCAGCTCAACACTAACACTGTGCGCTGTAGGATGTCTCACACTATTGACACAAGGCTGACAGAGATACAACTTTTAACTCCTCGCTGCAGCTCTCTCTATAGTTTAACGAATAAAAAACATTTGACAAGGAAAATTGTGTGAATTAAGACATGTTTCCTAAATAACAATATGTTACATACAGGTAACACAGAATATGACAGAAAATCAGATTCCTACAGGACTTGAATGGGAAAAAAATCATCTTCATTAACATTAAAACTACAGTGAGTAGTTTTTAGCTGACTAATAATAATAATAATAATAATAATAGGTCACATCTGAATGCTGCTAAAACAGCCTTTTTTTAAAAAAAATCTCCACTGAAACGATTTTCTATAAGTGATACATCTGGCTGTTTAAAGAAAGTTTTTTGTTTCATTAATTTAACATAAACAGGACAAAATCAGTAAAGATATTTGCTTATTATTCTAAAAGTGGCATTGTGCTTTAAAATGTTCTTGTTTGTGTGTTTAGCTGGACTACCCGAACATGGTTGAGGGACTTTTGCTCATCAACATCAACCCGTGTGCTGAGGGATGGATGGACTGGGCTGCACACAAGGTAACACACACATTAATGGTTTGAAAATACACAGTTTCACAAATTACCCTTTAAACATAGGCAGTCACTTGACCAGAAGCAAACTTAGAACTGTGGCAGATCTAACTAACAGACTAAAGTTAAACATTTTTTTTTTACATCTCTTTCCAGATCAGCGGATGGACTCATGCCATGCCGGACATGCTCATCAGCCACCTCTTTGGAAAGGTGCAGATTCAAATATCTTTCTTTTCTCACTGGTAGTGCACGTTTAGCATGTTGCTAAACTAGCTTTTATTGGTGTTTAGTGCTCAATGAGTTACACAGATTTTGTTTTTGGTTACCACAGGAGGAGATCCACAACAATCCAGACCTGATCGGAACATTCCGCCATCACATCCTCAACGACATGAACCAATTTAACCTGCATCTCTTCGTCAAGGCCTACGAAAGGTAAACATTTGGTCAACATTTTCTTTTACATGTAAGAGTCTTTAGGGCTAAATTCACTACTTAATGTACAACCAAACATGCCACTGGTTTTACAATCTTTACAATGTAATAAAAAAAATCTGAATCTGTTTAAAATTGTTCATAACATTTCTCTTTCTGCAGTCGAAGGGATCTGGAAATTGAGAGGCCGGTCCCTGGAAGTAATGTCAGAACCCTCAAGTAAGTTGTCATTAGCAACAATGAAATATCAACAAAACTCTTAATATAAAATGTGATATACTTATATGTCAGGCTGCTTTGTAATTTAGTGTTTCTCTTATCCAGGTGCCCATCTCTGCTGGTGGTTGGCGACAATTCTCCTGCTGTGGAGGCTGTGGTGAGTTCAGACGCAGTATTCACACACAGACATAGTAAACAAGCCTTTAATGCTAATCATAACACTTCCCTTCTCTACCGGGCTAACATGTACTTAACATGTTTCCCATTAACTACAGTCAACCATTTAAGCCAAAAAGAGACGCAAGATTTAAGCGCTTAAGGACAACTGTTGAACATGACTGACGCAAGAACAAGTGATGTAGAAAAGGTTTAATATGCGACTGCCATTAGATCAGAGAGGTGCTGCAAATCCCCCAGCAAATCTGTTACAGTGTGTTAGCCTTATAAGCCATAGCCAGGATTGATAAGCTATTCAGTAAACAATATATATTTTTGAATTCAATTTGATTATACGGTTAGATATTTGAAATACATTTTAGTTATAGCTAACTTACAATTCAGCCTCCAAAAAATGAACATCAAAAACAGAAACAAAGAGAATAATGTTTAATAAAAAAATGTACAATGAATAATCTATTTTAAGAAATAATGGCATTAAGAGGATGTCCAGCAAAAAGGACAAATAACCTCCCATCCCCTATCTATCCCTTCTTACAATTAGTTTTCTTTAGATCTGAAACTCTTGGAAAGTTAGTGTTTGAAGTTGCATAAGGCTGAAAAATAAATGTGAGTCCAGTTTGAATCAATAATATAGGTTTCAATGTACAATTTCTTTGCTGAAAATTCTCATGTGTACCCACAGGTTGAGTGCAACACCAAGCTGGACCCAACAAAGACCACCCTCCTGAAGGTAAAGGCCTGTTGCTCTCCACCCCTGCCCAATATCCTCATACTGATTATAATAGCCTTCATGGAAAGATATCTGCTGATAAGATTCCAGTGAGTCAGCAATTACCTGGTGACATATTAACCAGCTGTTTGAAAAGCTGAATGTGTCCGTGCGTACGCATGCTACCTCTGCAATCTGCTGCAGCTGACCTACTTTCTTATTTTACCTGTGGCAACCGTTTATGATCCACAACTGAAAACAAGTTGCTTTTAGTGCTAAAAAGGGCGTCATTCATTGGGGGCTAAATGTTCAAGATCCGGAGGAACACTAATTGAAGGTTGCAGGGACCAGGTGTTCAAATGGGATGTGTTAAGTTTAATGGCGCGTCTCCAGTAAATGTATAAGCACTACCATGCTAAACACTAATGGTGTTTTTTCTTCTGCTCTTTCCAGATGGCTGACTGTGGAGGCATGCCCCAGATTGACCAGGTGTGTACATCTGTGTTTGTGTGACAGAAACAGAAAAATCTCGACACCTGGGTAATCGGGTGGATGCCATAAGACGGTTGCACTTAAGAGCATTAGCAAATAGCAGACATGAACCGTAGTTGTCAGGTTGTAATCCTCTGCCTCGTGCAGCACCTGCTCACAGCAGCTGTCATACCTCAGAGCCTGAGCAATAATCTGCAGGATGACCAATCGAGTCTGTCAGTTTTATGTAAACAAGTGTGATAATTAGTGACAGGAGGACTGATTATCACCTTCTTTTTTGTCTTTCTTCTCTGCAGCCTGCAAAACTGACAGAAGCTTTCAAGTACTTCATCCAGGGCATGGGATACAGTAAGTACTCAAGACATGCAGCATTTCACATTGAAAGCACGCACTTAACAGGAATGTTGTGGTGACATATTGAAAATATGGCAATTTTTAAAAATAATTGTCCTTAAAAAATTCTAGTTTGATGAGTGTTTATTGTTTAAAAAAAATAGTTTTCTGCCACCTTGTGGTGAAATAAAGAAGTTTGGCCTCAAGTTCCTTTTAGTAGTGGTTGATAAACGACTCGTGCGCACTACATACTCACAGGACGAGAGCAGCTAACATCATCACAGAAAGTTTCACACAGGAACTTGAAGGTGTTATAACATTACTCATTCATCTCCGTGTGTTTTAACTAAATCCTCTTCCTCCTCTCCCCTCAGTGCCCTCAGCCAGCATGACCCGCCTGGTCCGCTCCCGCACCGCCTCAGGCTCCAGCGTCACCTCCTTCGATGGCAACCGCTCGCGCTCACACACCAACGAGGGCAGGCGCAGCCGCAGCCACACAGCCGACAACCAGCGCGCTCGCTCCCACACAGAAGGCTCCATGGATGGCTCGGGCAATAGCAACGTGGACCAAGCCGTGCCCAAGTCCACCGAAGTGTCCTGCTAAGTGAAACCTCAAATCTCCAGACGTCCCGAAAAAAAACCCCTGTCCAGGTCCCTTTCGGTTTGTGCTGCGCTGCCTCTAACTGACACACAGACACACACGTTCCTATGCACACACACTCACCGATGTAGAGGGGGCACTAAAAATAGCAAACCTGGGATTGTAAAAATGCATGTGGACACTCACCTGCAGACTTTGTAGTGCAGCTGAAACGCCCCATTTGTCTTTCTAAGGGACTCAAACACATCTCTGATAGGAAATGTTGCCACTGAGCTCCTTGGTCAGACGAGTATGTAGTTAGGGGCAACGCAGCGTCTGGGAACACAGAAGCAGAGAATGTCAGAGAAAGCTGTGGCTATCTCTCATAATCTCATATACCGTACTTCAAAAAAAAAAAAAAAAAAAAAATTAATTTCCATTTCTGTGTTCCCTCATCCTGTTTTCATCCATTTTGACCACATTGACACAGCTTTCTCAAAACGTACCTGACTGTAAATGACTGTTTTCTGTTCTTACTGTAATTTTTTTTGATCATTTACTCTTCCCTTTTCCATGTTTGAGGTTTTGTTGTTTGTGCTTAGGAGCAGATTTGTAGATGTGGAGAGGATGGGGAGGCACTTAGATAAATAAAACTGGCAGTTTGCCTTGTAACTTTGAAAATGAAGGGACAGACTTCATGTGTGTCATTCATACACAGCAAATAAACTTGTATTTTTTACAAATGTCTGTTATCCAAAACATTCCCTGTAATTTTAACAGTTTCCTGTCTGCGGTCTTTTCAGGAATCTGGTGTTAACTTTTTTATTACATTCCAATGAGACTGTGTGCTTTGTTTGTAAATCAAAACGCAGCCTGGATCACAAATTCAAAATCTTTTATATCTTATGCTTTATTAATGGATCATGGCTTCAGACAAAACTTTTTTTATGAGGATTTCTATGCAATCAAGCTCATAGGAACAAAGATGTGCCATGGATTTGTTCACTGTAGATGTGGTTGTGGGTCTTTGGGTGAGCGACGTGATGGCTCCACATGTTAACATGAGGCTAGCTGTAGAACTTACCTTACACCTTCTGCTCCTGTATTGTACTTGCACTACAGCAACGCTTTACTTTAAAGAACAGCTGCTTTGTAAAGATGCTATTCAAAACAGTGTAATGCTGTAGAAAAGCATTACAATGACATAACAGTTTGTATTTATTATAAAAATAATAAAAAAAAACTTGTAACTGATCTTCCCTCATCGTGTCTTTATTGCATATTTAAACACGTGGGCATAAAATAAGCCTTTGTCTTTTGCATTTTGGTCCATTTCTTCCTTTGAAAACATACAAATAAGAACAAATGATGGCATTTAAAGTAAAATATATACAGAAAGAATAAGCATCTACCTGTATGTTAAAGACAGACAATGTTTGGCAGAAATATTATTACAAATCAAAAAGCTCCATAAATAAGTTAAGCCTTCAATATTTCACACTCTTACATTTTTTGTGCAAAACAGTTCTTAAAATATTTAGCAATTTAGTATATTTACACATTTTCCAATAGGAAAAAAAAAAGACAATAAGAAAATCCCTTATACTTCAACACACACAACACAAATACAAAACACTGCAAAGCACAAATAGGTCAGGTTTGGTGTGGATGCTCCCGAAGGCAGAGAGCATGACTGACACCTGTTAGTTCATGACTTCTGGGTAACCATAGTAACTCTCCAGCTCTGCAAAGATGTCGTTGGGGTTTTTGCAGCTGAGGTTGCAGAAGCAGGCCTGGACCCACAACATCTTCCAGGTGAACCCAGACCCGTTAGGACACTCAAAGTCTACGTCGATGGTTTTGGACTTGTAGGGGATGCAACAGCGCTCATCGGTGCAGACGCCGCAGTATTTGGGCCGGTACTGCTTCTTGCTGGTGCAGCCAGAGATGGTGAGGTTTGAGGGCTGGTCTTCCCTGTAGATGTTTAGACATTTTTTCCCCGGCTGATGGAGGAAAGTAGAAAGAAGAATGTAAATCCTGTGAACATTTTTAATTTAAGAGGTAGTATGTTTTTTTTTTGATGATTAAATGGAATGCTTACCTTAATGTGTTTGGTGATGTCAACCTCACAGGGCCGTAGGTTGCAGAGGCGAGACTCTTTGATGAGCTCACATTGGTCATTGGCGTTAGAGATCCTCATGGACAGACCACGGCCACACGTCTTTGAACAGGGGCTCCATGAGGTAGTCTGGGTAATGCAGTTCTTGTGCCAGCTCCTGGTTTCAGCTGGGGGAGCTGGATCAACACAGAGGTGGGAGGTCAATAGATAACGTTAATCCAACTGATACAATATAGATTTAATTCAAAAATAGAACTAATGCACAAAGTTAACTGACAATTAAAAATAGAAACCTTATAAGGCTTATATCTACACAACCACTCCTTATGCTATAACTCCTTTTAGTGAAGGAAGAAAGTGTACCCTTAACCGACACTGTTTTATAACATTTCCTTTTACGACAAGGTAAATTAATCCAATTAATGATAATAATGCGATCAATGTCCTCTATGCCCTTTTTAACATTTTAATTGGGGACCAGCTGGGGACATTTCCTACAAACGTATACATGCAAAGTCTCTGTGTGTAATCTTAATCTTTAAATTGTGTTTGAGCTGTAATCTGGAACTGATTAGCACCATTACACAACACAGAGAGATCTTCTTTCCCACTTTTCCCTTTTCAACACTGCTGCACTAAAGGAACGGAAACTGGACATAAACCAGAAACAGTGTGAGGAATTCCACAAGAAAAGGATCGGTCTGTCCCTGCACACACACACACACACACACACACACACACACACACACACACACACACACACACACACACACACACACACACACACACACACACACACACACACACACACACACACACACACACACACACACACACACCCAAACCTCATGATCCTCCAGAACTACAAGCTGTCCTCTCACATCTCCAGACTTCTGATTGCCAAATCCACACACAGTTGCAACAGCAGCAGTCTACTTAGGTCAAATCCTAACCAACCACATTTGAAAACTATTCATGAGTTCTTTCTACTACAAAATACAGAATTGTAAACTCGCCCTTTTTTCTGATAGGATATAAATAAAGTAAAACTTGACCTTGGAGGGTATTAATGTAAAGACTTTTCATTCACTGGACTCTTAAAACATTTCTTTACATCTAAAATGTGGTCAACTGTTCAAAATAATTTGTTCATCTGAATTTATTCATGAAGACAACTAAAGAATACCATACAAGAGGGAGTGCTGCTATACTGAATATTAGCACATCTGTGATTCTGACAGAGGGAATAGTAAGAAGATAAATGCAGCTGCTAATATTAAGTATAACAGCACTACATCAAGTGTGACAGTTTGAAAAGCTGTATATATTGGTAAACAGTAATTAGCAGCAACTAATATATTTATTTTCAATTTGATCCTTGTCTTAGCCCCAACATCACAACTTGTTTGACAACTTAACTGGATCTGGATGTTTTCCAAGCAAAGCATGTTCTTACAGTTTTTGAACTTTGTGTGACTTCATGAACAGCTGCTTTGTATTTCATACATTTAAGGTTAGGTTTCCATTTATTGCAAAACAAGTGAAATAAGAGCTTGCTGATAGTTGCTGTGTGATTGATCAATCTAGACAAACGCCATTTGCTGTAATATTAATTTCAACGGTATTTAGAAAAACTGGCTAAAGACTAGGCTTTCTCAGAAATATGTCCTAGTTTATTAAAAACTAACATGTTTTGCTCTTTCAATACTTCATGCATTCCCTTTGATTTGGCTTTCCTGATGTTCTCAGACTTAACCAGGGTTGGGAGGAAATAAGGGATTTGTTAGTGCTATTGGGAAATTGAAAAAATGCATCCTCTAAAAGCAAAATAATATATAATGTATATACATTACATGCAAAACATCTTACCCTCTACTGCGTGCCGCGGCGCTGTCTTACGCCCTCTTTTGGATTCATCACAGATCCATTGCTCACAACACTGCCCTCGGACTTTGACCCTGCGCGGGTTTTGGCACCACACCCGCGGAGGCTGGGACTCTGTGCACAGAGGGACACAGCCGATGGCACCGTTCACACACACACATTGATATTTACAGCTGGGACTGAAGCTCTGCCCATTACGATAAATCACCCCATCATGCTCGCAGCCGGTTCCCACCATATCTGACAGAGGGGAACGACAAGAGGGCACATGTTATAGAGATCTGCAAGGAAAACTGCAAACACTTAGAAATGATAGTAATGGGTTTCCTAGGGATCAACTTGACTGAACCAGAAAACAAGAAGAACGCTGTGAATGACAAAAACAGGTTTAACACAGTGCATTGTACAGTATAAGTTTTGTCCCCGAACTTGTACTTTTTCACATTTTAAAGAATTTTAAACAAACCAGAATTTGTAATACTTATTCTGGCTTTTTACTTTATAACTACCAAAAAGGAGAAGTCTCAACTGCATATATCAGTTGGATAAACAAGTGCAGAAGCTTGCACCAAATCTAATAATGCAATAAATCAAACCTTTTTACATTTGTATTTGTAAATACATTTTGAATTTTAAAACAAATACTGTCTGTTGTGTAACATGTGTGATTTTTGAAACTGCATGAAGGGACAATGTTGTGCTAAAATGTCCCCTGTATCTATGGTATGTAAGACTTTATCAGAATATAACTTATTATCTGTCCACTAGAAGTTTGATATTATTACCCACAAATAAGTTGAATTCAGGCTTTTTATGTCAAAAAATGTGTTAATTAGGAAGCACTGTACACTGTTCTGTTCTGGTCCATGTCACTGTGGTGTGTTGCTTTAACTGAACAGTGGTGCAATGATGCCGACTATGAAGATAAAGAAACAAATAAAAACATGTCCCTGATGTATGAAAGCTGTTGTTTGTTTCAGTAGAGTGACACTTACATGCACACACTCCTTTTTCGTACCTAGGCTTGTCCGAGCTGTAGTCACAGTACAGTCCCTTGTGGTAGTCACAGGTGTCAGCCTCGTTGCACACCTCCCCCACCTGCCGGGCGCAGGCCTTACAACAGTCGCAGCCGTCCATGAGGAGGCTGATGCCTGGCGGACAGGCTGGGGTGACCTCAGGACACTCGCAGGGCCACTTGCAGTACTGCGTCCGGTTGAAGAGGTCGGCAACTTGGGTAGTGACTGCTGTGGTGGGTGGCATGGCAGTGGAATTCTGGGAGTAGGCCTGAGGAAAGGAAGAAATGCAGGACAAATTAAAGCTAAATAAAACCCCTAAGCTGTTTAGTGCATCACATTTGTAGCTTTTTTTTTTTTACTCAACTTTTGGAACCTTTACTACATTGACAATACAACACAAGTCACAAATTCAGAGGCTTTAGGCTTTAGCCAACTTTTATGAAATGAAAGATATTTGAGCCCCTGAAGTGAGGCAATGTTGCTGTTGTTCTTCTTTTTACCCTAATCCTGAATTATTTCATATCCAGCATTCTTTGCAAACCTGGTGTGACAAACCTCTTCTATGCTTGCCTGGGTAAAATACACGGCAGGAGCAAACATCCAGTCCTGCTGTGCAATAAATTAAACACAGAGTATAAAAGAATGAAACACCCGGTGAGTTAATCCTATTAAATCAATAACATCTTGTATGTGTTGAACACTCTGGAAATGTTCCATCATCATGTTTATAATCTGAACATAACTGACTGTGCTGAACAGTTACAAAATCCTGCCAATGAAAGTTAATCATCACCTCCCTCCCTCTCTCTGTGTTTGACTCTCACAAGCTGCTCTGTAAAAAAACTCGACACTTTGTCAAAGCAGATGTTCTCACTGAAACAGGCCACATGAGCCACATTAACAGCCGAGCACTCGGAAGTTAGTTTTGGACAGAAGATGCACGAGTCCCAACAGAGGACATTTTTCTGACAACAAATACCCCTTTTTATATTTGGAATTAATTTTTGCTTGTTTTGAGAGCGGAATGTTCCTGAGACATTTCCAGAAGATGATTGTTGTTATTCAATGTGGGAGGCATTAAAATTAGATGTTTTTTTGTCTGCAACAAATCCTATTGGAAAGCTACGTATCCCAAATAGTTTTAAACAAAATGTACATTTCTATTTATCTCAAATTAAATAAAGATGAAATCATGAAGGCTCATGAAAAAGACAAAATAAAGCTGTATAAAGACTTAATGTCCCTCATAAATACCAGACTGTTAAAAGGAAGGCATTATTAAATGTTCACATCTGTCTGTAAACTCAGAAATCAAAACACTATGTTACAAACAACAGAGGGCTACACGTAAAACACATACACACTTTATCTGTATTTAATTGAGAGGAAACATGCTTAATCATCTTATTCAAGCCGTATGTACCCTTGAGTTATTTCTCTGCACTTCAGTGGCTTTAAGGCTGTATTAATAGCTACCACAGTGTTTAGAGATAAAGTAGATGAACTGAGCCATTCTCCAGTTAGTTTAGCACACAGCTATATCGGGCTAATTTACAGAGAAGAACATAATGCTGGTCAAATTCAGCAGAATTTTATTTTGAAAGGATTTCATCATCGTGAGGGAATAGCAGAGCACTCAATGGATTACAGAAACAGAGAGGACCTACCTTGAGCAAGACTACAAGAAGAGCAGAACCCTCAGATATTTTGTGACACATCGGTGCAATAACTTCATTTCCTGCATTACCTGCAGCTACATGTCATTTTTTGGTGAGGGTTAATAAAAATAAAATACAATAACACATTTTCTCTTAAATGTCCCTCCAAAAGCAAGTGTTGTTTAACTAATGCAGCTATAAATAAGTATATAACATGTTCAAACAATTAAGGCTATGTTTGTGATATGGTGCATAACATTACATTGTGTTTTAAAAATGATTATAATATCAATATCACATATCGACACCATTCAGAGGCATTGTTTTAGTATGTTTTAACATTTATAACATTAATTACCTTACAACTTGTTAAATAACTTAAGAGGGGGAATGTAGGCTATAACTGTTTATTTACTTATTTTGTAATAAACTATACAATCAATTTTACCATAACCATTTTTTTCCCCACACAGGCATCAAATTTCCAAAAGCTAATCCACACACCGATAGACAGGGCAAGGAAACATTGGAAATAGATGATACTCTGTTGAAAAACATTATTGAAGCTGTTCATAAAAGCTATGTCTTAGTGGGCCGCTAGGTGGCACTAAAATGCAACAAAAGGTTGAAAGTGATGCTGAAGTGATGCGGCTGCCAGCATCTCACGCTGAGGGATGATTAATGACAAAAAAGACTTCTGTCTGAGACTTTAAGAGAGGATGATGGGGTTCAGGCCAGTTTCTCTAACCGTACAGTAACAATGGAAATCGTATAATACGACAACAGGAAGAAAAAGACTATTGAATCAGGGAATCATAATCTGGGGGCCATTACAAAGTATATCTAGGAGAAAAAAAAAAGTTATTAAAGCAAGAGTTGGGGCAAAGTAAAATCCTAGGTCTAGGCCTACTGTATAATAACAATTATATATCCTATAGCCTAGTCAAAGGGAAAATACAAATAATCCAAAAGCATTCTGGAAAGTTCTTCTAATCCCCATATGACGTTTATAGCAACTTTAGCCATTTACAAATAACAGGACACATAAATACTTTCACTGTCACTGTTGCTCTCCTTCCTGAAAGTGAGCTACAGCTTGCGCTTTGATTTTTGCTGCATTCAAAGTCAAATCAATCCTCCGTCCCACCTGTTGAATCCCGGCGGCAGTGAGAATCCACAACAGGAGCCAACTCATCACTGGTGTGAAAGTGCAAATGCATTGAATCCGGAATGAGTCCCGCGTTAAACGCTCGCCACGCAGCTCCCCGCAGGTGTGTTACATCCTCCTCGTGCCCTTTCTGTCATCTTGATCTCCTCCACCACCTCTGTCTGGGTCCGGACCGCGGCTGACAGCCTGTTGAAGAGTCCCGACTGACGTAAGGTCTGTAAGGACGAGCCCCGCATACTTCTGAGTGTGCGAGGGGACGGTTCTTTCTCTTTCCTTTTGCTCCACTTTCACCCGATCCTCCTCCTTCTCCTCCCCGGAGAGCCCCGGTGGCTGGGGCGTGTCTGCAAACCCGGAGACATTCAAGGCCACGAAGAGGTCCCTGTGACACGTGACTGACTGTCGTTGAAGTCAAGATTATATTGTATCTTGTATCTTAAAACAGTAAGCACATGCACTCATATGCATTTGAGTGAAAGTGATACAGTCCACACATGTAAAAATGTAAGAAAAATAAAAAAATCAGGCGTCCAAGGAGTGGATTATTGTAGGCTAATCACAACATCTTGATTTAAACAGATACAGTTGGTATGGAACATAGTGGCAGATATGGTGAGACATCAAGACAGCATTTCAGGCAGATGATGACACATGAAAATGATCCCGTATCCCAAGACTCAAATCCAAGACAGAATGTAAACGTGGAATTGTTAAATTCAAGTGGCTTTTTTCTATAATATTTCTTCATGTCAAATTTGCCATAAAATAATTTTTCGTGCAATTAAAGAAACATGAGCGTTTGAGTGTTCATGCAGGTAAATATGAGCAAAAACTGTATTCGTTTTACATTGTTTGAAAATGTGCACATATTTAGATAATTGCGGACAGATGCATTCAGTTGTCTGTCAGTTGAGTTATTCCTCATTAATGCCTGATCTAAAACTAGACCACTTTATGTATAAACTCTTAATCTTTCTGCAGCTCATTTCTTGCATATTGCTTAATGGTTCATTTGGGAGTTTTAAACTCCAGTCAAGCCCCAAAGAGTCTCTAATGCGTCATTTTACTGTCATCTCATCGCATCACACCACATCTGATCCTATAGTTTTCTTTGCACACTTTAAGGCCATATGATTCCTACAAAATGACCAAAACTTCAGCTGCTCCAAGAATGATCTCAACCGCACTCAAATTCTTGAAACGAACATTTGCTTTTTAAAGGAGTGAACCGATATAGAGTGCAGGTTGTCTACCTCCTACCTACAGAATCTATTTGACACTGGAGCTGTGTCTGGCACACAGATGTTAAGTTTAAATCAATGATGTCATCTATCTCACAGTCTGCTACTTTGCTTTCCTTTCATTTTTCCTGGAAATCTGATTGTTTGTCCTTGAGATGACACAGGCAGCGGCCAGGAGAATTCCACTGTATGCTGCTACTCAACCATACGGAAAATGTCTTTTAGTGCAGATATATGGGACTTCTCCTGTCACTGACGAAAATATCACTGGAAATAACTCTGTGAGGATTAGACGCTGCAGGCGACTGAAAGAGAGAGAGAGGGGGGAGTGATAGATGAGAAATGAGCACTCTGTAAAGGAACAAGGTGCCCCAGGTCTGAACCCCTATTATTTACAGGCTGAGCTCTTATCCCTGTCAAAGAGCTGTCAGCCGCAGAGCTGATCTGAGATCTGAGCAGAGCTTCTCTCACTGTGTGACCGGGATGACCCCTACGCTGCACAATGTAGCTTCTCTCTCTGCTCCTGTTGCTTTCTTCCTATCGCTAATCTCTGTCAATTCCATATTTATCAACCTGAGTTCAGGTCAGATCATTGGTGTATTCATTACCTTTTCAATCCATGTTAATTAATATGTGCTGTCTGGAGTGGAGTATCTTTTCTTTGGTTCTTTGTCATGTTGTATTCCCAGTTATTCCTTAAATCTTCAAGTGTTCTTAGTGTAATGGTTTTACAATTTCCCCATCTGCAAACATAAAGCATATTTTCCTGTTTTTTTTGTTTTTGTTTTCTTTAGTGATTTTGCATTTAAAATTTTATTTAAAGCTCATGTGAGGAGTTTTGAGCTGGTTATGAAACAAGCTATTATGAAGGTGTTTTATTGAAGCAGTTTTAACTTTCATCATGGTGACCTGACGGGTCACTCAGCATTAAGAATCGCAACAAAATGCAGAGCATCATTAAATTGTGCGGCAAAATGACAGGTTTGTCCCTGTCTGACCTTACTTATTTGTATAAAGTAAAACGTTTGAAGAAGGCCCAGATCATTGTCATCCTTTGTCCAAGAAGTTTAAGTTGCTGCTGTCAGGCTACAGATTCAGTCTGCTAGCATGTAGGACAAAGAGACTGAGGAACTCATTTGTCCCTGCTGCCTCCGCCTTTTTAAATGACTAATCGTGTTGCTTTTTTTCACCTGGTTTTTATCTATTGTATTTATTTATTTGGTCTTATGTTCTATGTTGATTGCTGGCTGTATGAGTGTATTTTTTTAGTCTCTTTCTTTCTCTCCTTAATCATTTACAGCATATTTACTTGTCGCACCAAAGGCCTTGCCATCTTCTGAAACAACACAGAGACAGGAAAGAGAAGTTTTAAACCACACATGGTATCATTAATGCTCAAGTCAGCATCTGTCCTCCATTTTCTGGTCTGCTACCAGCAGGTCTGTTAACTGCAGAGCTTTACATCGACCAACAATACGCATCATTAGGTGACGTCAATCAAAGCGGAGCTGTGGCCAGCTCGCCTGCGTTCCTCATGTGTCTGTTGTGGTTCATTTGGCAGAAATATGTCGTCATGAAAGCCAGGTCTGAGGCGGATATTGCTTTGTTCTCAAATGCAGAGGATGTGTAATTCTTCAGCTGTCCTGCATTCAGGAGTTTTGATTTAGTTTTGTCTTATAGTCATTTCACATACTGGAGAATACGTTGATCTTTTTCTTACCAAAGGTTAGATGAGAGGATACTCGTCTAAGATCTGGTGCAAAATATGATGCTAAAGCTATAGGCAATGACTTTAGCTTAGCATAAAGACAAGACTCAACAACCTGAAAGTTCACAACTGTACAATGTAGTTAATAACACAGAATGTTTTGTTGTTTAAGCTGTAGTTAGGAATTAGGTTTATATAGTTGCTGCTCATGTTCTATACATGTGTAAGTTGTGTTTTCCGACTAAAGTGAATCTCAAAATTACAACCTAGAAGTTATCCCAGCATGAACTGGGTTGAGAGCTGGACTTATTTCACCCACCATTTCTATAAATGATGAGCTAAAGGAGAATGAAGGAGCCCTGAATGCACTCCAGGTATAACATTATGATAGATGGCCTGATTACTGGGGCCGACCATTTATGACTCGTGGCTTGCATCGCTGGTCAAACTGAAAATCCCCTCATTAAAATCCCCTCAACTCACACAGAAGCCTTGAAGTCAAAGCGTGTTTTGGAAATCTTTGAGCTTCAAAGTCAAGTGGAGTCGGTAATCCTCCTCAGAATGGGAGAATACATTTACAACACCTTGAGGCAACCAAAAACTGCTGAGGTGATACATTAAAAAAGAGAGATCCTTGACAGCACACTGTAAGTGTGGGAAAATCTTCTGAACATCACACATCACCGCTTTACAGTCCTTTAATAGACGGCGCTAAACAGCAGTGTGTGTTTTCTCTGCAGCTTGAAATAGCTCAACGATCATTCTTCCAGCAGAAACATACTGACTGCACAGTTAGAGAGTAGTTTGAAAGTTAAGTGCAGTAATTAGCTAAAATGACTACAATGTGTATTTGAATAGCAAGAATAATTAAAACAGACACGCACATCTCTAAGTGGCTGCTGGATACAAAAAAACAAATAGGTAAAAAGAAGCTAAAAGAACCCTCAGACTGGGAAAGAGCACGGTTACTCAATACGTCACTTGTTAATACATCCTTTTAACGGGAGCTCCTTCGTGTGCAGATCTTTTTAAGTTCTATTTACTGACATCTGATTGGAATAGCTTTACATTTTTGAAAAGTTCTATTTTTGTTTTCCTGCAAACAGTAAAATGACCAGACTATTACCATACTCGTGTCTGTATGGTTAACATGAACAGTTAGCCTAGCTTAGCATACACTGAAAACAAAGTGACAGTTACAAGACTACAGATTTTCCAATTTCAGTCCGTATGCTAAGCTAAGCTAACGGCTGGCCTTTATTATAGGTTAAAAACCTTCTCATCTTATTTTTTAACAAGGAAGTATATTATCATGTTTCCCTAAATGTTAAACGATTCCCTTGAACTTCATTGAATTTGAAGCCATACAGTAAGTCTCGTTTGTTTTGCGTATCTGTGTGTGCGACAGAGGATGGGCATGGCAGGCTGTGCTCAGACCAGTCCAGTAATTATACTGTCTTTATATAGCTGTGGTTTAAGACTCATGGACTGAGCAAAACATCTGCTGGGCTCCATAGATAGAATAATCTTACATGAACTCAAAGAACTTTAAGAGACTCGTCATGTTGATTGTTGTGTTGTAGACATTACACTGTACACTTCTGAATACTGTATCAGTGAAGGATTAAAAACCTATAGCCTAACACTGAAGACCTGAAAAGGCCAACAGTTTATATAAACAGCTAAAACAAGGCCACACTCAGCTTGAAAGATAATTATAATGGATCATTTATTATTCCTTTAATAGATTGCATCACTTTATAAATAGTTCCACTCTTTTAGATACTCAGAGTTCTTGAGATGTTTATATAAAAACCAAGTCTCCATGTTTGCTAAGTGAAGAATCCCAACACAGCATGCAAACATTAAGAAAGCCAAGGCCCAGCCAAATAAAACTTTTATTTCAGTTTCAGGTCCAATGCTGTTGGCATTACCTTGGATAATAGCTTGAAAAGAGTTGCATTTTACAAATACCCACTGAATTAGTGAATGTGCAGTTGCATGCAGAAGTTTGCACAAGCATGTTCAAATTCCAGAGCTAAAAGCTACGTAGTAATTTACTTTTGATTAAAATGATTGTAACCAGGGGCTGTTAAGTACGATCGTTATTCTCTCTGAACTGTTTATTTAAACTGGCTGGCCCAGCAGGCCTATTATTAACTTTAGTTGTTTTCCTATCACAGACCTTCTTAATATTTTAACCATTTTGACAACCCAACCCAATGGCGGCAGATTTATCAAAATAATACAGTTTAATTAAAAGTACACTATACGGAAACAATACCTAATAATATTAACCTGCTAACACAACAATGTAGGCAAAAGGTAATTGCAGCCGAGCCAAGCAGAATTTTGTCTGTACCTCGCGCTAAATTCCTCAGT